CATTGCCCCCCCCCCCCCCTGAGAAATTTATTCTACAAAAGTAAGTGAAGCCTGGCCCAACCAAGATTTTTGCTGCCCCCCCTGACCAAAAATCCTGGCTACGCCTCTGTCATTTGGAAACAAGATGATACTTAACCAAGGCAACATTTTTATATAAAGTCTTGAGTAATAGTGCCGCACCAATTCTGAAAGATTCATTCATAAGTAGAAATATTTTACTAAACAATTATAATCTTAGAAATTCTCAAACTGATCTGACCCTTCCAAAGCCAAACAGAGAATTTCTCAAAAGAAGCTTTAAATATAGCGGTGCTTATCTTTGGAATAACTTTCCGCTTGAAGCTAAGCAAGCTCAATAATTAACCGAGTCTGGATTCACTTAATCATATATTTATCTGGGACACACCATCGTTGTTTACCGTAGCTTTTGATAATGTACATATTGTAGTAGACTTAGTTACCTTCCTTTTTATATTCTTTGTAATATTTTTTATATGGACGCCCCCCGTGGAAATCAACTTTTGTAGTTGTCGGGGCTAGCGTCGCTATAGTGTGTATGTGTGTATGTATGTATGTATGTCAGTGCCTCCATCCTAGTCTCCAAGCAGCCCAGGTGAACCACGAGATGACTGCGGGGAGGCCACCGTACCTGCATCCAATATCGTGCTGAAATTGAATGTAGCTGCCTGTACACAGTGTGGTTCTAGTTTATTACTTTTTGTTTCACGGCCTTGAACATCCTTGGAAAGTCCTTGAGCTTTACTCTTCCTGACCTGCACGAACCCTGGATCAAACCACCTCAAAAATGACAAAAACTTCGACGTTTCGAATGAAGTAAAAGATTGTCGCTCACGAACTTCTCGACGAAGGTCCTTCGCTTGAAACGTAACATCAAAGTTCTCTTTTATTTAGTTCAGGCAGTTTGATCCTGCAGTCGCTCCAGTATTTTAACCGAGATCCTTATAGTATCCCTTTTAAATAACCTTATATATGTAAGCTTAAAAGATCTAATCGCATTTCATGGCTTTGCGGCTTTGCCCTTGTAATTACAGGTAAACTACGTGAAGCGTTCCTCTTTTGATTGATTGCAATTCTCCGCATTACCTTTGCAAATATGAAAAAATCCCTTAAGTGAATTTGCAATGTTCCTAAAATCCAATTAAATTTGCCTCAATTCCTGTTACAAGTTCTTGACTTCCTGTTACAAGTTCCTAACTTCCTATTCTGTTACGTGCATTTTAATTGGCTAACAAAAATAATTCACCAATGACAATGACAACGCTCAGAACAGAAACAATGAAATTAAAACAGGCAGTTAGAAAAATTTGAAAGGAAGTTTCTCTGCATTGGAATACCGCAACAGCCGATAGGAACATTGCAAATTCCCTCAAGGGATTTGCAAGGGAGTTTTTCAAATTTGCAAAGGTAATGAGGAAAATTGCAGTCAAGGTAGGAACTCAAAAGAGAAACGCTTGACGTAGATTACCTGTAAACCAAATAAATTCAACCCAATAGATCACACTGATATTATTTATATCAACAAAGTCCCAATTAGTGTTACAACCAATTCCATTTTCAGGATCTACTTATAATTCCTTTCCGTTTCATTCCAACATGAAATTGAAGAAACGGAACTTTCATTTTACGTGAAGTGCCCAAAAGGTACAATTTCAGTTTGCACTGTTTAAAAGGTGCTTCGCACGATTATCTTGTACATTTTTAATTTACGGTTCATACACGGAAGACCCGTTCCAGACCCGAACTAAGATGGAGGTGTCGGAAATTATTTTTGACGAAGATGATTCATCTTCTACGCCCATAGACCTGGACAAAAACCACGGGTTTGGCCCGATACATGAGAGAAACGCCAGAAAATAGCTGCCTTTGCGTCTGTTGGGTTTTTTGTCATCATGGTTGTCCTCCTTGGAGTGTTCACGAAGCCAAAAGACGATCTCTACGCCGTCGAAGGCAACATAAGCATCCTGCATGAGGATGAGATGTATTATCACGTTGGCATTTTTATCTGGTCTTTAAATCTTATAGGTATTATCTTGGGAGAATTTGTGAACCGGTCGTGCCTGATGTTTCAATGATATGTATACTCGATCGATTTGGTCTTGGAGCCTCGCTCTCATTAGTAAACTAGGCAAGGTGATTAGCTCACGATTCATGAGAGAGAGGCTCCCAGGACAAATTATCGAAAGGGTATATTCTATTGAAAAATCAAATAGAAGCTATTCAAAGTGTTTTATTAGAGGGAAGGTCAAACATTAATTTTGCCGTATTTATGATTAAGTCTCTTTGCCACCGCGCAAACTTGCTCATTCATTTTCATTTAATTTACTAGATTGAGCATTCTGCGATTGTTATGCATCAATATATAACTTCTTATTAAGCCAGGAACAGATTTACTAGATTTAGGCTATATAGCAGACAGAACGAATGTGCAACCATTCGAAAATTGGTCTGATTTCATTGGTTCACACGACAATTCGTACGGTTAGCGAATCGGTCACTTTGTCCTGTTCCATGCATGTGTCCCATGTGAACTCATACATGCGAGAGTCGTGCAGATGTGACTACAGTTGCGTGTAAACGGGGGATTTAGTAAATATTAATTAGTATAAGTTCAGTGATGTAGTTCGGATATCTGCTAAATAGAATGTGTTAACACAAATTGAATATCTTATATATATCTGAGTCCTTGCTATCCTGTAACCTTAATACGACTTATTAAATATTTAGTCGCATTTCATGATTTTTCACTTGCACTTTGCAAGTAAATTCAACCTTTCATTATAATCATAACTATCAACGAGTCTTAATTAAAATGTTTTGTTCCAACGAATATCATTTTTTTCATTTTCTATTTATAATTTCTTTCCGCTTCATTTCAGAATGAAATTGAAGAAACCGAACTTTCATTTCACATGAGACCTCCAAGAGGTACAATTTTAGTTTGTACTGTTTAAAAGTTGCTTCGTGCAATTATCTTCTACAGTTCTACAATGTACGGTTCATACACAGAAGACCCGTTCCAGACGGGAACTAAGATGGAGGAGTCAGCAATTATTTTTGACGAAGATGATTCACCTTCTACGGCCATGGACCTGGACAAAAACCACGGGTTTGGCCCGATACCAGAGAAACGCCAGAAACGAGCTGCCTTTGTGTCTATTGGGTTGTCTTTGATCATCATGGTTGTCCTCCTCGGAGCGTTCACGAAGCCAAAAGACGAACTCTACGCCGTCGAAGGAAACACGAGCATGCTGCATGAAGATGAGATGTTTTGCAGAAAGAATGACCAGTATTATCACGTTGGTGTTTTTATCTGGTCTTTAAATCTTATTGGAATTATCTTGGGAGAATTTGTGAACCGGTTGTGTCTAATGTTTGAAGAATATTTTCATTTGTATACCCGGTATGGTGGTAGCAAGAGGAGAATGTTTGATGCATGTTTCAGTGATATTTCATTCAGAGCTGTGTTCTTTGCGACATTGGTCGCATTCGTTATCATTGGCTCCACTCTACTCTCCCAAGGAACGAAATATTTTAAGTTTGAGTACATTGAGATCATCCTAAGCGGTGTTGGAAGCAGTACTCTTGTACTGTATCTTCTCAGTTTGGATACTTTATCTCGTGTGCAAATATCCTCTTTGTTGGAAAATAACAACAGACTTGTCGCGAACGGCTTAGCATGGTCTTATTACTTCGGTTACTTGAAAATAATTCTGCCAAAATTACATGAACGAATTGCAGAGTCGGAGTGGAAAGACAAGTTGTCTTCCAACAAATTATTTATCTTAATGCCTCGAGACTGTTGGGCCTTTGGAAAGTTGTCAGACGAAGCAGAAGATGGGAAGATTCAACTTGTTGAAGATGGAGTGATTGAATTTGAGGCTGAAAGAGCAGGAATTTCTAAAAGATCATATCGAAATAATGTTTACGAAATAAAAATTGATGGTTGTGAGCCTCTGCAAGTCTTGGCTCAGTACGCAACACCGCTGTGCTCAATGTACGACATGAGCCATTCAGCCGAGGCGAATCTCAGCGTAGAAGACCGGGACGAACAAGCCAAGTTGTTTGTGCGCACACTCGAAGCGATCCTGAGGAATCCTTCTGTGCCTGAAGTCCGGAATAAATGTAAGTTGGTGCCGTATGCAAGATCCCCAGACTCATATGTGCCTGTTTCCAACGTCTTGGCTGATGCTGTTTTAGATGATATGAAAGAAAATAGTTCTTTGGATAGTCTTGATGGAATTGTGGAAGAAGGAACAATATCAAGGAACAATATGTTTTAGGAACAGTCTTGTACTTTATATTATCAAGGCGATTATATTTGAGTGTACATATAATTATTTTGTTGGGGTAACAATACATCAGAAAACTATATATGTCAATTTCTTTAATAGCTATATGAATACACCGCGCTTAATCAAACGAAAATGGGAGTTCATGAGAGTTGGCAGCGAAAGATTACAAGAAAATTTTCGAGAACATTCTCGTGAACCACACAACCTGATAATGTGAGTCTATGTAGAAATGATCCACGCTACACATATACACACACACACTATGCATATACTAGACATAATATTTGACGGTATGGTCTATCTTCGAGGACCTGCGAAGGCTGGTAAGACCTCTATACGGACGTTAGGTAACTAGTATGTAACTTTAATATGTGCATTATTATGTTAATGGTAACATAATAATGCACACATTAAAGTGACAGACTAGTTACCTAACCTCCGTATAGAGGTCTTACAACCTATGTATAAATTACAATATAATGAGCTCTGAAATTGAGCCATTCCGAAGTTGACGAGTGTTAAAAACGGACGAAATTAAGAAATGAACCAAATCACTAAAAAGACCCTCAAAATTAGAAAGTATACAAAGCTTGAAGACGTTTACATGAATAGCTTTCGAATAATAAGCTTTCGAAAATTGTGAAATTACTGATTAAGCGTCCCCAAAAACAAAAATTACAGATGACACCTTTTATAGTAAATATCGCGATTTTCGAAAGCTTATTATTCGATGGGTATTCGTTTAAACGTCTTCAAACTTTGTATGCTTACTAATTTTGAGGTGATCATTTTAGTAATTTGGTTCATTTCTTAAATTGGGCACTTTTTAACACTCGTCCCAGTCTTCTCATCAACTTCGGAATAGCTAATACTCGTACATGATGGTACGAATTCAATGTTATAAAGCAATACCGGTGAATAAAACAATTTGATCTCATTGCCTTCATCCTAGCTTCCAAGCAACCCAGGTAAATCGCGAGATGCCTGCGGGGAGGCCACCTGCATCCAATATCGTGCTGAAATTGAATGTACCTGCCTGCACACAGTGTGGTTCTATTTTATTACTTTTTCTTTCACGGCCTTGAACATCCTTGGAAAGTCCATGAGTTTTACTCTTCCTGACTTGAACGAACCCTGGATCGAACGACCTCAAAAATACTGACAAGAACTTCGACGTTTCGATTGAACTAAACTGATCGCTCACGAATTTCTTGACGAAGGTCCCTCGCTTGAAACATCAAAGTTCTCCTTATATTTTTCAGGCAGTTTGATCCTGCAGTCCCTCGAGTATTTTAACCGAGATCCTTATAGTATCTCTTTTAAATAACTTTATATATGTATGGCTTAAAAGATTTAATCTTTTTTAATGGCTTTGCCCATGTAATTACAGGCAAACTACGTCAAGCATTACTCTTTTGAGTTCCTAACTTGATTGCAATTTTCCGCATTAACTTTGCAAATATGAAAAAAATCCCTTGAGGGAATTTTCAATGTTCCTAAAATCCAATTAAATTTGCCTCAATTCCTGTTGCAAGTTCTTAACTTCCTGTTACAAGTTCCTAACTTCCTGTTCTGTCACGTGCATTGTAATTGGCTAACAAAAATAATACACCAATGACAACGCTCAGAACAGAAATCATGAAATTAAAACAGGAAGTTAGAAACATTTGCAAAGGTAATGAGGAAAATTGCAATCAAGTTAGAAACTCGAAAGAGGAACGCTTCACGTAGTTTACCTGTAAACCAAATAAATTCAACCTATCACCACTCTAATATTTTTATGTCAACAAAGTCCCAATTAATGTTGAAATCAATTTCATTTTCAGGATTTATTTATAATTCCTTTCCGTTTCATTCCAAAATGAAATTGAAGAAACAGAACTTTTATTTACGTGAAGTGCCCAAAAGGTTCAATTTCAGTTTACACTGTTTAAAAGGTGCTTCACACAATTGTCTTCTACATTTTTACGATGTATGGTTCACACAGTAGACCCATTCCAGGCGGGAACTAAGATGGAGGAGTCCGCAATTATTTTTGACGAAGATGATTCATCTTCTACGGCCATAGACCTGGACAAAAACCACGGGTTTGGCCCGATACCAGAAAACCGCCAGAAACGAGCTGCCTTTGTGTCTGTTGGGTTGTCTTTTATCATCATGGTTGTCCTCCTCGGAGCGTTCACGAAGCCAAAAGACGAACTCTACGCTGTCGAAGGCAACACAAGCATGTTGTATGAAGATGAGATGTTTTGCAGAAAGAATGACCAGTATTATCACGTTGGTATTTTTATCTGGTCTTTAAATCTTATTGGTATTATCTTGGGAGAATTTGTGAACCGGTCGTGTCTGATGTTTGAAGAATATTTTCATTTGTATACTCGGTATGGTGGTAGCAAGAGGAAAATGTTTTGCGCATGTTTCAGTAATATTTCATTCAGAGCTGTGTTCTTCGCGACATTGGTTGTATTCGTTATCATTGGCTCCACTCTACTCTCTCAAGGAACGGAATATTTCAAGTTTGAGTATATTGAGATCATCCTAAGCGGTGTTGGAAGCAGCACTCTTGTGCTGTATCTTCTCAGTTTGGATACTTTATCTCGTGTGCATATATCCTCTTTGATGGAAAATAACCACAGACTTGCGAACGGTTTAGCATGGTCTTATTACTTCGATTATTTGAAAATAATTCTGCCAGAATTACGTAAACGAATTGCAGAGTCAGAGTGGAAAGACAAGTTGTCTTCCAACAAATTGTTCATCTTAATGCCTCGAGACTGTTGGGCTTATGGAAAGTTGTCAGAAGAAGCAGAAGATGGGAAGATTGAACTTGCTGAAGGTGGAGAGATTGGATTTGATGTTACAAGAGCAGGAATTGATAAAAGAGTATATCGGAATAATGTTTACAAGATAACCGTTGATGATTGTGAGCCTCTGCAAGTCTTGGCTGAGTACGCAACACCGCTGTGCTCAATGTACGACATGAGCTCTTCAGCCGAGGCGAATCTCAGCGTAGAAGACCGGGACGAAGAAGCCAAGTTGTTTGTGCGCACACTCGAAGCGATCCTGAGGAATCCTGGTGTCCCTGAAGTGCGGAATAGATGTAAGTTGGTGCCGTATGCAAGACTCCCGGATGTGTCTGTTTCCAAGATCTTGGCTCATGCTATTTTAGATGATATGAAAGAAAATAGTTCTTTAGATAGTCTTGATGGAATTGTGGAAGAAAACACATTTTGAACTTTCTGTAAATATATAGTCAATGTTGGTTACACGGTGGACAGTCCAGTCCATAGTTGCCATGTCTAAACGGAAGACAGTTACTTGAATGGCGCTTATATAGTTAGCTCCAGTGTACAAGCGCCCTAGTTAACACAATGACTAAATCATATGTATTATTATTCATTATATGTCTTACCTTTGCTGACAAATATATGTACAGTAGTATAGAAACATTCATCACATGCGCTTGCTAAAACGTTTCAATACATTTGAAGTTGTCGACCAAGTGTATAATAGCTCTACGCCATATCTGAACACATATACCTATACATAGATGATTTATACTATATAGGTTTGATTGATTTAGAACTGGACTTAACTATGATATTTAACGTAGAACAATATTTAATTATATTTAATATACAGAATAATATTTATTAGTATTTTTGCACAAGAGAACATAACCAATCCTCCAACCTAATTGGTCAAATTTGACGTATTAAGCTGTTTTATTCACCTACAGGTCAATATAACAAAACTGATATTTTCAAAATGGCTGCTAGCCGTTTTGTGGAAGTTTACTGATAAAGAAATAAACGAAATTAAAGTAAATTCAGTACCAAACAACACAAAAGACTTGTGTAAAAATACTAAAACAATTATTCGCCTCAGGGTCGGTGATTATATCGGGGAATATTAACCTCGACTTCCAGTGGCGCCGGCAGGATTTATTTTTGGGGGAGCAAATCATTCGAGTGCCAAAGGCACGAGCCTACTAGGGGGGTTCGGGGGTATGCCCCCCCGAGAAAATTTTGGGTGTCTAAAACCGCATTTCCTGCGTTTTGGAGGCACTTTAAGAGAAACATAAAGGTTTTAATAAATCACTTTTTTAGTAGATCGGAACA